CGTTACCTTGAAGAAACGCAGCAGGAAGCAGGAAGAAGATACTGCCCAAACGACTAGACCATAACCTGGTTAAGGCAGATGGCAGGGGAAAAATAGCAGATGCTGTGGAACCCCAACTGGTAGGGTCAGCAAACAAGGAAAATATTTTTGTTTGGGGTCTAGAAAAGTTGGTGGTGAGCAAAGAGTGGAAGGAAGGATAAATTTGGTCTTGTTAGTAGATAATGGGGATCCATTAAAATTCTTGAAGAAGAAGAAATATGATTTAAACTGCAATGAAAAAGGTCAACTGGGCAGATGTGTGCGATGGGTTCTCCTAAATAACTTCAATAGTGACAAATCTGTATCCATGGAAAAGGAGAAAGAGGAGGTATTTAAGTTTTTGAAACAGTTGAAGACCATTCAAAGGCCAAGTCTGGTGAATGAAGCTTAGTGATCACATTTTCAGTATAAATTAAGGAGTAAATAGAAGTAATAAAATTATATTCTTGAGTTGGTTAAAAACAGACTTTCAAATCAATATCCAAACAGAGGTTATAGATGGCTCCCACAATGGTTACATCACTGGAATAAATGCTACTTTCAAGAATACTCATTTGGAAATATAAATTCTGATATACTCATTTAAAAAATTTAGCGTCATTACCTCTTAATAAAGTAAGAGAACTAAAAAATGTGGGATATTTTCAAGGTAATATTCAACTCTAGGGAATAGTAAAACTTTTTTTAAGTATGATATGTCATAAGGCATTTGGACAGTTTGTCTCAAAGAGGCCACAAAGTTTTAAATTAAAAGAATTTGCATACAAGTAAAATACCTAGAGCCAAAACACATCATGAAAATATCAACAGCAAAGCTGACAGTTAGGCTTATTAGTGGTTAAACTGTAAATTAATTTTTATGACATGATACAGGATTTAATATATACAATCTTGCCACTGATTGATTTTAACAGAGGTTGACAGCTGCTGTTATCAAAACCCATCATCTGTGCCTAATTTGTTACATTAACAGGTGAATGTGTAAGTAGAGTAGATACTTAAAAAAATATGTTTATGCTAAGTCATACCATGTAATTTACTATTCATACAAAGGCTGTGACAATTGGTCAAAAATGCTTTAACTTCTAACTGCCTGAACTCAATTATATGTCAACTCTGTAAAAACTACCCACATATCTCTTTCAGTTTCATTTTACCATTAACAGAATACTTTTAAGCAAAATAGAACTCATTCTGATATCCTTAAAATATAGTCCAAACAAGTGTTCATCCTTTACTTGGGTATTAAGGCTTATGGATTCAAGGACATATGAAAAGAAAATGAAGTATTTTAAAAAGCCAAAAATTTGACTATTAAAATTAGGCCATTCTTCATCTGATGATTTATATCAAATACTGATTACAAATTTCATGCCCCAAAGTTTCATGCCACTATGGTAGACATCAGTGATACATATGCTGTTAGAAACCAGACTGACCATCAGTATGTTCTGTACAATCTCAAGTACACAGTGATACTCAGCTGACCCTTAAACACTGTGGGGGACTGGTTCCAGGACCTGCCGCGGTACCAAAATCTGAGGATGCTCAAGTCCCACAGTCTGCCCTCTGTATCCATGGTTCTGCTTCTGCAGATTCAGTCAACTGCATATTGTGTAGTACTGGAGTATTTTATTGAAAAAAATCTGCATATGAGTGGATCTGCACAGTTCAAACCTGTGGTGTTCAGGGGTCAACTGTAGTTGAAAAATTAACTCAATTAATTTAAACTACTTTTAATAGCATCTGTGTGATTATGTAATTAGGCCAACATTTTACCATCTGAAGGTGGCTATTTAAAATAAACATATTTTTCACAGAAACACTCAGGTATGTGTGCCATTAAGGCAGAAAAATATATATCAATGGATCATGAGTTTACTCAGTGTTTTAAAATTTTTCAATTATATTTTAATCTTATATTCTAGAAGGGAGGTACAAAGTTGGAAGAAGTGGGGGAAAAGAAAAAATAAAATACCTTAGTACCACTAATTATACATAAGATAACTTGGTTAACAGTCAGAATATGTATTATATTCAATTCACATTTATGATGTTTTATTTAAGGAATGAATCAAAAATCTCTTTGGGTCAAAAAATCCACTTTGGTTTTCAGCTGTTAACTTTATTCTCTTCTGCCTTTTTTAGGGGAATTTCAATTTGAGTTAACCAAATCTTAGTCCTCTCCCTCTTTTTTTTTTTTTGGTTTCTGTTTACTGCTTAATTCTCCAGTACTGTCTCAAATTATAGTAACAATTCCCAGGAAGTAAGAGAGAGCCATGAAGCCAAGCAAATGAATACTTCCTCTGCCATTCAAGAGAAGATAGTTTCTCTCTAAATTCTCTTAAAAAAAACATTCCCATGGAAATATAGGGCTCAGCTTTAAATCTGTTTAATTTAAAACATGTAATGGATTCTTTCCTCTTTGTAATAATCTTCAGTTCAATACTATGTTAACTAAAACAAGTTTTATGCCAAAGTTAGAAGTATGTACAACAGCAAATTCAGCAGATTCAAATGGTTTATTCAAAATCAAAACGAGTTCTCAAATGCCTGAAGTATAAATGGGAACACAGAATTTAAAATATGGGCTTTTATTCCATAAATAGATGAATGTTCAGAAATACTACTTTGTGCATTGAAGTAAGCCTGTTGCAGATAAACACTGTGGACTAAGCACATGTGTTTATCTTTTCTTTTTTCTCAAACCCTAATAAAATGGCAGGAGAGGAATGAAAAAGCTATAAATCCACGTGGAGAAAAATGATCAGAAAGAAGACAACAGTATATGTCAGGTGGCACATGTTAAGAATGAAAAGTAGAAGGGGAGCAATAAATGACATGGGAGGAAACTACTGTACAACCCAGATGGATGCAGGAAGGATGCCAGTGAGAACGGGCTGATCCTCCACGGAGAACTGGAGACAGGTGCCATCGCAAAGTCAGCACGTGAGGCCCCGGGGACAGAAACTGGAGGGAAACAGCTACAGGGACGTGCGAGAGCCCAGGTGCTCACTCCCACTCCTCACCAACGGGGGACTGAGTACCCTCTCCCGCGTCCTGTCCCACGTTTCAGGGAGCGAGAGGTTTGTTTCCTGTGAAATTGAACCAGAACAGCTGGGGATTCAGTGCCACCAGCACAGCAGACGGCAAGAAGACATGAGACTACACTCTATTTAGGGCACTGGAAGATTCTCCTCTGAAGAAATGAAATAGCCCTAAAGAAAAAAAGCCTCAGTAAATGATAGTTGGGGCTCCCCGCAAAGAGAAGCGCCAACTTGCTTCCAAATCTTGCTATGATGAAGCCAACTCACAAAGCCTACGATAGGCTTTCCAGTGCTTCCCTCCCAAATATAAATGGCTCATGTTTAAGCATCAGATCTTTTAGAGCCTCCATCTGCAAAGACAACAAAACATCACAGGGGTTGGCAAACTATGGCACGTGACCTGTTTTTATAAGGCCCATGAGCTAAGAATGGTTTTTACATCAGAACAAGGACCATGGGCTTCCCTGGTGGCCCAGTGGTTAAGAATCCGCCTGCCAACACAGGGGACACGGGTTCAAGCCCTGGTCCGGGAAGATCCCATGTGCCGCAGAGCAACTAAGCCTGTGCGCCACAACTCCTGAGCCTGTGCTCTAGAGCCCAGGCGCCACAACTACTGAGCCCGTGTGTCCAGAGCCCATGCTCCGCAACAAGAGAAGCCACCGCAATGAGAAGCCCGTGCACCGCAAGGAAGAGTAGCCCCTGCTAGCCGCAACTAGAGAAAACCCATGCGCAGCAATGAAGACCCAACGCAGCCAAAAATAAATAAATAAAATAATTAAAAAAAAAAGAACAAGGACCACATGTCTCACAAAGCCTAAAATATTTACTATCTGGTCCTTTAAAATTTGCCAAACCCTGTATGAGAAGATTATGGAAGAATACCTTCTAATTTCTGAGGGAACTTGATTTACAACATAGAATTTCATATCTAGCCAAACGATCAACTGGACAGATACGTGAAGGCTCAAGTCCCTGCATTCCTCCTAAGGAAGCCACTGACGTATGGACCTTACTGAGGGAGAAATAAACCAAGAAAGAGAAAGATAGGAGATTGAGGAAATAGTGAAACCAACAGAAGAGGTGAAGGAAAGCCCCAGGGCAGTAGATGAACAGCAGGCCTAGGGAGCATTCAACCAAGACCTGATGAGATGGGAGGACTTGGGGTGGGGGTGGGGGGGAAACCTGTAAGTCGTCTGATAATTTGATTCTGGAAAGTTGGAAAACAGTACTGAGGTGCTGCCACAGATGCATAAAGAACTAACCAAAATTTTTCAAAATTACAGAACTATTAACTTTAGGAAAACAAAATAATTATTCAAGGAAATGTAATTCTAGTTTACTGTGTGGCTTAGCAATAAGCAGTATTTATGTGCCATAATAGTATGAGCACAGAATATTTATTGAACCCCAATTATGACAACCGCATTGAAAGGACTGGGGGAAGGAAAGTATGTAGGTGGGTTCAGGACAGAGAGACTGTACAGAGAGCTACATCCTCATGTGGAGAAAGAAATACTCTTATACATCACAGTCTTGGTATCAATTATATCCTTTACTTAAAATTCACAAAATTCTACATCAATAGCTAGTAAGAGTTTTTTGATTACACACTGTCAAAGTATTACTGTAGTCTGATTATATGATAGGTCTTTAAAAAAATCAAGAATAGGTTATGGCTAAACCATCATATTAGGGAAAAAAGAGGAACTTAGAGAAATGGAAAGTGAAATGAAACTTACCTTTAGAAAAATTACATCTTTCTGAAGTTACACAAGCTTACCCCCGCCCTCCCCCTGACCGCCC